AATAACAGGATCTTTGATTGTATTCCATTGAAATGAAAGCTAATGACTTTTATCGGAGTAAGACATCAAATACATAGATATAGTAGAAAAAGATTAATTTAAGACTAAATTAAATTAACTTTTTTCGTGATGTGTTTGCCTTTAGGCGACCTCTAGTTTTTAGGTCCCTAGGCTACAGCCCATACTAACCCTTATGTAAATCCGACACTGAATGTATGGTATGAACTTTTCCACTAATAGTGCACTTAAAATCGACGAAAACATAAAAGGTTAAATGATAGGAGTTTCTCACTCTTCAAGATTTAGGCGATCATGGCTCTCCACAATTTCCTGTTCTTTTTAGCCCTTTTTGTTACTTCTCCTAAATCCTTTTCCGCAATCGATTCACTCAAGCTGACTAACTAGTTTATGTGTTGTTTACCTTTGTCCCTTTTGCCTTCAATCTGTCCTGTGAGTATCAGATTTTCCAAGCCCTCTTTCCTCATTATGTGCTTATGAAATTTCAACAGTCTCGTCCTGATGTTATGTATAAGTTTCCTTTTTGTTTCCATTTTCTCTAAATCCTCGTCGTTTCTCACGTTTCTCCGTGGTATCCCCAGAATCTATCTCTTGAACCACATTTCTGTTGCTTTAAGTCTCCTCTTTATCTTTGAGGAGATTGTCCAACAATCATTGTCATATAGGAGGGCAGATATTACGTAACACTTCAGTACTCTTTTCTTTGTTTCTTGTTGTGGATTCCGGGTTGAAATCCGGTACCAATAAATAACAAACGACAGGAATTAATATAGGAAAATAATGTATTAACGTAATAATACAAACTGGTAAAGCAGGTTAGTAGTTCCAGGAATACGGGTTAGTAGCAAAATATATATACAGTCTTTGGTATTGAAGTATCGCTGTATGACTTCTTACTGAGTCTACGTGCTCACTCACTGTGACTCCTACAACGCTGTTACCTTACCCTCACTCTTCCAGTTACCTACAACCTTTTAAACGGTCACTCTGGACTCGACTCGACGGTCTTGCTCTCTCGGGCCTTCACGTAGCCGTAGTATATGTATATACTGGGTGAGTCCATTTGTGTAAAAAGGGGTGGACTCCTCAACATTTCTCATGGAGTTTTTCTGTCTCTTGTAGTATACAGGTTAGCTCTGTGGGTGTTTAGCAAACCCAAAGGCATTTACAACAGAGATTAGACCGCCATCTTAATAGACAATTATTACGAGCGGTAAACCATACAATTCTATTTATTTTGCAGGCGAATCAGAATTATTGTTAGAAATATTCTTGATTCTTTAAATGTCCTTAAATTGTTTAAATTTTCATGTCTTCAAGCAAGCAGTAAAAGAATACTCATATTTTTTTTACCCTGTATTCTCCCATATTTGAAAATGAAATGGCAAAGTTTTGTGTTGTGTTTGAGCTTCTTTCTGAATTAAGTTTTAGAGAACTAGTTCTCATGCCGCAAACAAGCTGGCAATTCGTAACTTGGAATATTTAAGATGTCAAACTGTAATGTCATCATGGTACATTTTAATGAGAACACTAGAACTAATCTCTTGTACTTAACATATAATTTTATTCAACTCCGAGTTTCGCCAATTACTCTTGGGTGGGTGCTTATATATCTACATATGCGGGTTTTTCCACAGGTTCACATCTTCAGGGCAACTTGGTCAACCACGCGTTTATATATCGGGCAGAGTCACTGAAAATCGAGCCAAGCGCAGGTTTGCACCTGGTGGCTAGGAGGTCATCTTTCAGATCAACTCGTAGATTCACCTGTTATTTCGGAGTCCTAACACTGAGTGCAATGTTCATTTTAGCTGGCGTGAATCACATAATGCAAAACTATCATTTGCTATCCTTTGCTATTGTACTCTTCCACCCAAATAAGCAGTTTTATTTCCTTTTTAGTAGTAATGGCTCCTTTAAAACTGGAAATGTTTTTAGGAGCAACTGCTATTTTCTGCTGACCACAAAAACTAAACTGAGCATATTTCATTTTATGGTTTGAGTAAAATATTAAAACAGTGTTTAAAAGAATTAAAAAGGTTTCTTTTGATAACAATATTAAAATATAGAGTAAAAACTCAGAATTTAAAAAAATAAATAAATTAAATAAATCAAGTTATTGCTGGCCTGTTGAGTCCAAGTAGATACTGCCCGATCCAGATATTGAACGGATTGTGCCAACAAATCCATGGTCACTGGAACAAGAACAGTCTATTTGAGGGAATAGATGGCAGCGCAGGGTTTGGGAGAGATGGAAAAAAAATCGAAATTTATTGAAGCTGAAAAGGGAAGGAAATTATGGAGAACCACTATCGTCAACGCCCTGAAGGCACATAGAAAAAAAAAAAGAGGAATTAAACAGATTTTTTGATATATTTAAATAATTCCGTGAAATATTTTCGCTTCCGCTTTATTAATGTGTAACAATGTGAACAACAATTCTTACGAGGAACGCGACAGGAAATAAGATCGTAACTATCGTTGCCGGGATTAAAATTATAGAATTCTATAAAAATGCTAACACTTTTTAAAACTGTTTAGTTTATGTTAACGTCTTAAAAGTTGTTTTTTTAGAAACGTAGACTATATTCATTTTATATTTTCTTTAAATATAAACACATTGATATTTTCTGCTAAATTAACAACTGACTTACGACAAACACGATGAATTTAAAAAAAGTATTTAATAACATAAACTTTGCTTATATATGTTCATTTTTAAAATTTGAATTAAAAATAAATAACTCAAAAGAAATGTTTACTAAAAATGTTTTCAAACATTCTTATGCAAATTGAATATTACCGCTTATTTTGTAAACGCCATTTTTTTTTAGTAATATATAGCTTGTTTTGTATGGGCAGAATTTTGGCTATGAAGAGGTTTACCTTTCCATCGTCTCCGCGTTTGGTCCATTGCATTTGTTTTGACTTCTTTTTAGGTATTTGCCGCTGAAGTAGGTATATTATGGCTTACTTGCACTTTTTAACCCACTTGAAATTGCCTTTTGAATTTGTTGGCTTCCTTTATTACTGAATAGAGTTCCTTATTTCTTACATGAACTATTCTTCTTTTTCTTCTTCTTTTTCTTCTTCTTCTTCTTATCATTATTACTATTTTCAGATAATCTTTTTGTTACTATTAATTCATTCTCTCTTTTTTTTTTTAATTGCTTCCCTTGTTATAGTTATTGTAGTTGATTAATTTCAATTCCTCTTTATTGATCGAGATGTCTCTGCTGATATTCCGGTCACTTCACAATGAGGAAAAAGCAATATTTTATGTTTTCATGTGACAACCGCGTCTCGCAGGATCGGTGTAAAAAACGAGACGCCGATGTTGAGGGAAGCTGGAACCGGAAGGTGTAGACGAATCGGAAACGGCTAAGAAGTAAATATTAAATCATATTTCCAGGCTCAAAGTTCCCTCAGGATCAGCACTCGATAGCCATTGCTGCTTATTTTATGTCAGTGGGTCCGTAGGTTGAAAAAATGACAAAAAACAACAACAACAACAACAAAAAGACCCCCCCAAAAAAAAAAAACAAAAAAAAAACTGATGAATTAGGAAAAGCAACAGCAAGGGAATAAGAAAAAAGAAAAGAAAAGAAGAAGGCAATGAAAGATTAATTAAATAAAATGGAAAGAAAGCATTATTAGAGAAAGAAAAGGAAGAGTAAAAGAAAGAAGGAGAGAAAGAAAAGCGTAAGTATGGATGTTGAAAGAAAAACAACGGAAGAAATAATAATAATAATAATAATAATAAGAAGAAGAAGAAGAAGAAGAAGAAATAAACTGTAAGAATAGAGAAGAAAAACGAAAGAAAAAAATCTGGCTGTAAAGAAAAATATTTAGAAAAAAGGTTAAGGAGACAAAATGAAAACAGGAAGAAGAGCAAAAATGAAAGAAAGAAGAATTATGGCAAAGGAAGAAAGAAAATGAAAGAAGGAAGAAAAGAATTATGACAAAGAAAATGAAAAAAGAAAGAAAGAAAGAAGAGTTATGACAAAGAAAGAAAATGAAAGAAAGAAAGAAAGAAAGAATGAAAGAAAGAAAGAAAGAAAGAAGGGTTATGACAAACAAAGAAACAAAATGAACAGAAGAAAGAAAGAAAGAAAGAAGAGTTATGGCAAAGAAAGAAAATGAATGAATGAAAGAAAGAAAGAAAGAAAGAAAGAAAGGTGAGTTATGACAAAGAAAGAAAGAAAATGAATGAAAGAAAGAAAGAAAATGAATGAAAGAAAGAAAGAAAGAAAGGTGAGTTATGACAAAGAAAGAAAGAAAATGAATGAAAGAAAGAAAGAAAATGAATGAAAGAAAGAAAGAAAGAAAGGTGAGTTATGACAAAGAAAGAAAGAAAATGAATGAAAGAAAGAAAGAAAGAAAGAAAGAAGAATTATGGCAATGAAAAAAAGAAAATGAATGAAAGAAAAAAAAAAAGAAAAAAAAGAAAGAAAGAAAGAAAGAAAGAAATGAAAGGTGAAAAGAATGACAAAGAAAGAAAGAAAATGAATGAAAGAAAGAAAGAAAGAAAGAAAGAAAGGTGGTGAAAGTTTATGAAAAAAAAAAAAAGAAAATGAAAGAAAAAAGAAAGAAATGAATGAAAAGAAAGAAAGAAAATGAATGAAAGAAAGAAAGAAAGAAAGGTGAGTTATGACAAAGAAAGAAAGAAAATGAATGAAAGAAAAGAAAGAAAGAAAGGTGAGTTATGACAAAGAAAGAAAGAAAATGAATGAAAGAAAGAAAGAAAGAAAGAAAGAAGAATTATGGCAAAGAAAAAAAGAAAATGAATGGAAGAAAGAAAGAAAGAAAGAAAGAAAGAAGAGAAATATGAAGAAAGAAAGAAAAATGAAAATGAAAGAAAAAAGAAAAGAAAAGAAAGAAAGAAAAGAAAATGAATGAAAAAAGAAAAAAAAAAAAAGGAAAATTATGAAAAAGAAAGAAAGAAAAAAGAAAGAAAATAAAGAAAAAAAAAAAAAGGTGAGTTATGAAAAGAAAGAAATGAATGAAAGAAAAAGAAAGAAAGAAAGGTGAGTTATGAAAAGAAAGAAAAAAAATGAATGAAAGAAAGAAAGAAAAAGGTGAAAATGAAAAGAAAGAAAGAAAGAAAATGAAAAAGAAAGAAAGAAAGAAAAAAAGGTGAATGACAAAGAAAGAAAGAAAGAAAGAAAAAGAAAGAAAGAAAGAAAGAAAGAACAAAGAAAGAAAAAAAAAAATGAATGAAAGAAAAAAAAGAAAGAAAAGAAAAGAAAGGAAGAAGAGTTATGAAAAAGAAAGAAAGAAAATGAATGAAAGAAAAAAAAGAAAGAAAGAAATGAAAGAAAGAAAGAAAGAAAATGAAAAAAAGAAAGAAAGAAAGAAAAAATGAAAAGAAAGAAAGAAAAAAATGAATGAAAGAAAGAAAAAGAAAGAAAGAAACAAAAGAAAGAAAGAAAGAAAATAAAAGAAATGAAAAAAGAAAAAAAAGGTGAATGAAAAGAAAAAAAGAAAATGAATGGAAGAAAGAAAGAAAGAAAGAAAGGAAGAAGAGTTATGGCAAAGAAAGAAAGAAAATGAATGATAGAAAGAAAGGAAGAAGAGTTATGAGAAAGAAAGAAAGAAAATGAAAGAAAGAAAGAAAGAAAAATGTTATGACAAAGAAAGAAATAAAGAATAAAGAGCGATTTAAAAACAAAGTATTGTATGAAAGAAAGAAAGTAAAGGGACAGTAATTTCACTATTGTTTCTTCCTCTTCTTTCTTTGAAATGAATTGTGGGAAAATAAACAAGAGAAAGAAAGAAAGAAAACAAGAAAATGAAAATCCGGAAAGAAAGCAGGAAAAAGGAAAATATATTTGATACAAATGAAAATTGTAAAATAAAAAACAACCCCAAAACAAAGAAAAAATAACAAAAGAACACAAAGACGAAAATAAAATAAATAAACCCTTGACACAAATACATCAACTGAAAATCCCACTTCAACAGCTAAGAAAAGAAAATTCTGTTATCGTTAGGGGCCGAACAAGAATCGAAATTACCTTGTCACTGTGATAAATTCAAAGAATCCGGAAATGGTAGACGTATGACGTCATACTAGTAGTTCACCCCTGAATTTAACTGCTTTCTTCCATGGCATGATGGGAAAATTTATTCCTTGTCTTTTCATTCAGGTTTTGCTATTCATGTCTTTTGTGATTTTTCTTTTTAAATTTTACATTTCCAGTAATTGTCCTTCCACCCTTTATGTGGTAACAGGATTCAAGAAAAAGCTTTGTCGATTCATAACAACGTCACAAGGGAGATAAATAAATTAAAAAAAAATTGCTTTCTTTGACCAATTGGATGATTAAGGTTCTTGACGGCGTCCGTTTCTCGTCAAGCATTTATGATACAGTTTGATTAAGAAACCACATACGAAGTACTTAAAAAAGAAAAGAAAAAGTATTTTTTCTTGTTTATGTACAAGAAAATATGTCTGAATTTATTGAGTGTAAATAATGGACAATCGTTTGAAACTTAGCGCATTCAAACCTTTCAAACATGTGGACATTAGTTCTTCTATATACCGAGTATCTTCATGAAATAGGTGAATATGGTTTTCCACAACTTTCTATCTCGCGGGACTCTTAGCAGTGTCTCTGCCATTGCTGAAGCCCCTGACTCTAGTTGTGCCATGCATTCACACAGACTAGTCAGGTAGGCGACCCGCTGTCTTCTCTTTATCTCTTATCCTCAATATGCCCCGTGAGGGTTACGTCTTCCAAACCCCCATTCCTTATTCCAAGGAATTCCAGCTATCTTTTCTTGATTTTGAGTAGAAATCTTCTTTCTGTTGTCATTTTCTTTAAGACTTCCTTATTGTATACATGCGCCGTCCATGGAATTGTCAGCATCCTTATTGCCTCTAGTTTTCTCCTCCTTCATGGGGAGGTTGTCCGGCATTCCCTGCCATATAAGATGATAGATATCCAACACTCTTATACTCATTCTTAACGATTAAAGTGTAGCCATTGTTAATTTTATATCAATCTCTTTCAGAATTTAACTTAAAACATTATATAGAATTCATCTTGAACATGAAAGAGATGAGACGCATTTACCTTTTCTGCATGAGTTCAAGTTTGGTGACAATGCTTCTCAAACTGCTGACAGCGTTAACAAAGCATAGATGAAGAACTATCATGTTATAGAACAGTACGTTACTAGTTTCTGAAATTGGTGTTAGGAATCTTAAAGATCAAGTTGGTACAGGACGTCCATCTGCAATTGATAATCAACATCTGAAAATACTAGCTGAACAAAACCCACGTCAAAGTGTCAGAGAAATGTATCAGATATTGGGAGTCAGCTTTTCAACAATATCGGACCATCTCTAGAAGATTGGCAAGATGAAGAAACTCGATAAATGGGTTTCATACGAAATTAATGAAAATCAAACAATTCGACGTTTTGAAATGTGTTGGATGCTGCATCTGTGAAATTCGAATAATCCATTTCTTGATCGAATAGTGAGTTGTTAGTCATGGCTTGATTATGACCAAGAATCCAAACATTTTGCAAAATCGAAGTTACGCCAACAGAACATTATGGTAAATGTCTTGTAATCGACCATAAACGTTATCCATGACAGCTGTGTGGAATCTAACCAGATCATCACTGCCGGGGTTTACTACCGACAAGTGGATGAAATGCACGTTCAGTTTAGCAAAATGCCACCGATATTGGTTAATCGACGAGGTCCAATTTTGATTCATGACAATGTTCGTCCACATGTTGCCAGGAAGACACTGCAGAAGCTCACCGACTTGCGATGCATCCACCATATTCCCTTTATCTCTATCCCACTGACTACCATTTCTTTTCAAGACTCTTGACAATTGTCTAAGCCAAAAGACATTCCGTTGCAAAATAGATGCAGAAATTGAATTCAAAGTTTTCTTGTCGTCTAAAACTTTAGATCACATTGGCATAAATAACATTCCATCTTCTAATGGCAGAGATGTATGGCTCTTCAGGGCTCCTGTTTTGACTGGTTTAAGCGCTGTTTAAACGCTGTTTAAATACATTCATTCAGGAATAAAAGTTAAAATTAGAGATTATTTTCCGAACAACCAAATAAAAAGAAAAGGTTTCGATTGCGTCACAAGGCCTTTTTGATGTTGTGATCCCACGCTTACATGGGGCCAAAGTTCAAAGTTTAATAGTCCAGTATTTTTCAAAAGAGATTAATGATGTAAAGTTGGTGCGCTGTGTTAAGGATATAAGTAAAACCCACTAGCGACACAGCTTATAAACCCCAGCAACTGAAAACTACATTGTTAGGGGAAGCTAATTGCCTTCCACTATAAAGGAAAATAAATTAAATTACGATTGAGTTCTTGTCTGCATTTGGTTATGGTCTGGTGGTCTGCCATTAGCGTTATCCATGACAGCTGTCTGGAATCTAACCAGAGCATCACTGCCGAAGTTTACTACCGGCAAGTGGATGAAATGCATGTTCAGTTAAGCAAAATGTCACCGATACTTGTTAATCGACGAGGTCCAATTCTGTTTCATGACAATGTTCAGCCACATGTTGCCAGGGTGACACTGCAGATGTGTGACTTGGGATACAAGATTTTGTCACATTCACCATCCACCATATTCCTTTCATCTCTCGCCCACAAACTACCATTAGCATCTTGACAATTTTTTTAAGTCAAAAGACATTCCGTTGCAAGGATGTAGAAAGTGCATTCAAAGATTTTTAGGCATCTAAACCTTAAGAGTTTTATCGTAAAAACATAAATTAACTTTGTAACTCGATGGCAAAAATGTATAGATGTTTGGTGTTCCTATTTTGAATGATTTAAACACTGTTTAAATACATTAAGTTGATTCTAAAATCGGACATTATTTTCCGAACAACTTAATAATTCTAAAACCTTCTCCATATCGAAAAACCGTTTGTTTTCCACCATGGTGTTCTATATTACAGAATAGCTCATGGTGTAACTGAGGACCAGAATTAAAGGTCTATTTGAGAATGTTTGAATTTCAGAAATTTGGGGGGAAAAGTTAAAACAAAATTCGTAATAAATTACTTTTTCGATAATTTTGTAGCATAAAGATATTTTATTTACTTCTTATTTACTTCTAATTTATCTTTTTTATGGTATGCTAAACTAAAAAATATAATTTTTAGAAAGAAAAACACTAATTACTCATAAAGAATAAAATTTTATGATCAATATATTTGTTGTTACGAATAATAATATAAAAGAGAAAAAATTAAAATTAACTTTATGTGTAATAAAGTAATTTTTAAATAAGCTTTTCAATGTAAAATCAGAAGCTTTGAACAATGTCTTAGTAAGAAATAAAAATAAAATTTCCACAAAGAAGGATATTTAATTTCTAATTCACAAGACCAAGATTCCTAAATTCATTTTTTTTAAAATTAATTTTGCACAAAGGTTTTGTTTTTCCAATTAAGTAATTTTGATGAACATTTTAAGCAGTAAAAGAATTGTAAGTTTGACGATAGTAAAAACTTGATTCGGAGAAGATTTTGCCAAGTGAAGTTGATTTTCTTTGTAGAAGTTATTGCGACTCAGTGTATTTCTTTGGAAAATGGAGGAAAAACAGAAATTATTTTTGTTACGCAAAAAAGAGAAAATAGAATAAAGAATTTTCACATTTTTTCCGAATGAAGGTTTTGGGGATCTTTTAATTTAACGGCCACATACGATAAAGTTCAGATGGTTCAGAGCCGCAATACATGAACAAAATTTACAAATACGTTTTTCATACACATTAAAATTAAAATTAAGTTTTAATCCAATGGGGTCTCACTTCATATGCAGTACATAATTAAAAAGCTTGAATTTTTTTCTTATTTACTTTTTATATTAACTGTGATGAAAAAAGAAGATCAGCCAACATATGTCTACGAGCCGCAGAAAGGTCAAAGAGCCGCATGTGGCTCGCGGTCGCGGTTTGGCCATGTCTGTTACAGTATATGCTTGTTTGGCCAGAAGTTAGTTTTTTTTTTAAGCAGAAGGAATTTTAACTTATTCCAGTCAAAAAGGTCTCTTCTAATCGTATTTTGACAGTTGGTATATCAGTGTACGTTTAAATACTATCGAAATTGGTGTAGTATAGTTATGGGGTACTTAGTATATGGGGTAAGTTGTATAGTTATGGGCTACTTGGAAAGAAAAAGAAGTATCTTGATTATTTCCTCTCTACGAAGACTATTACAAGCATTAGTATATCTATGATATACTAACACATTAACACGATTTAATGAAGGACTAGAATAACTAAAATTAATTCTAAAAGTTAATCATGCCTGCAAGCATTTTATATACTGTTGTGGATTCCGTGAATGGAATCCTGCACAAATAAATAAACAACGCCAGTAATTGAGATAGAAAAATAAGTGTATTAAACGTAAGAATACAGACTTGAAGTGAAAATTAGTAGTCCAGGAATGCGGGTTAGTAGAAAGTGTATGTACAAGTCTCTGTAAGTGAACTCGTAATCATCTCTCTCTCTGGACTCTTGTATAATTCTCTGAGAACACCCTGTGTCTGTCTCCGTATCTCTCAACCTGTCTCAACGTATCTCCACGTATCTCAACGTATCTAAACAGCAGGTATTCTCTCTGTCAGTATAAGTATACTTTGGACGAGTCCATCTTGTGTAAAATGGGGGAGCCCCACAACATATACAAAACTAGAATATACAAATTTATCATTTGTCTCCCTCGAGATCTAAACAGCAACTGAGCTATTTTCAAGAATGAGATGTCACGTTTTCCTCAGGGTACCTTAGGACATTAGTAAATTCATTCTTTGAAAATGGAGATAAACGCCTTCTATATTAATACAATAGCTTACTAATTCTAACACTGAAGATGGAAAAAATAAACATAAATATTTTCATCATATTATCCTTGTTT